AAGCCCATCTTGAGAGGCGTGAATCTCTGCAGGCTTTAAAGGCCACACTCCATGTGACCCGCCCAGTCGGTGGTTCGGTCAGATGCTAAGATGAAGATGTGAGAAAACGCTTCAGGATACCAAAGCTCTGTGCCAGGCCTTTCGGCCTTGACTTTTCCATTCACCAAAGATTCTCTGACTCAAACTGGTTCTTTTCATCAACTAATTTCAGCAAGATCTGGGGCCTTAAGATCAGGAATCTCTTTCCGACAGCCGAGATTCGCAAGTATCAAACTTAGTCTTATTAATTGATGCATTAAGTATCAGTTACACCTTTTTACAAGGTGTGTTTGAACTAAGAATCTGACGCTTCCCTCAGGTTTAGATCTGCTGAATATGCAAAGTTTCCATAAAATTCATTCTTTATGCCTCTTTCTGTGCTGAGTTAAACTTTAACCCTTTCCTATACCAACTGTATGTGTGTGTGTGTGTGTGTGTGTGTGTATGTTAGACCAGTTTATGTGTTTATGTAGTATGTTAGACCAGTTTATGTGTTTATGTAGTTAATAAAACCTTACTTGTATCACACTTGACATGTTCATTGTTTGCTCATAACCGGAGTCACTAATCATGCAGATTTACGCTACAAGCTTTGTAGAATTGTACAGTAAGAAAGTTATTTCCCTTAACCAGGAAATTAACGTTCTTAGAATTGACAAGACAGTTGACCCTGAGAGGTCAGCTAAATATCTACAGCGGATCTAAAATATGAATAGTTAATTATAACTAGTTATGGTTAATTATTCATATTTCCTGTCATGAGCTGATTTGTTACATTAGATTGTATTGCTTCTAGTCCCAAAGAAGATATCCTCTGTATATAGTTTGTGGGAAATGCATGTTGTTTGAGGAAAGATGTTGTACATTTGAGCATTGCCTGACTAATTTTATAACCCAGACAAAATGAAGGCCTGTGTTCCTGATGTCCGTGTGGTGTAACAGGTGTCCAAACTGCTGCCAGAGTGCTTCGCCGAGCAGCTGATCAGGGTTTACTTTAAGAAGACGGATGACAAGAGCCTAGAAGCTGCTAAGAAGTACTTTGTCCAGTGGTGCATGGACAGGAACTTCACCAAACCCCAGGCAAGACTTGGCTTTTCCAATTTTGTAGTCATTCAAGTTTCAGTTTTATTTCCAAATATACTTGGTACTTTGAGCAATGGACTTGTCAGATATATTTCAGATGCTAGTTTGGAGAATTCTGAACAGAAACTGTATATTACCCAGTTAATAAGTACATAGTACAGCGGTTAAAATAAGTATTGAGCACATCACCATTTTTCTCAGTAAATATATTTCTAAAGGTGCTGTTGACTTGAAATTTTCACCAGATGTCGGTAACAACCCAACTAATCCATACATACAATACAAATAAGTTTAGAAATTAAGTCCTGTGTAATAAAGTGGAATGACCCAGGGAAAAAGTATTAAAGTAGAGACCTGCACTCTGCCAACCCTGAAACAACTTACAGAACTACCACATTTTGCTATAAGTTTGATTGCATCATATAATAATTGCTGTTAATATTATTCATCGTCTGTTTTATTACGTCTTAAATGGATTTTTCCATACTGCTGATTCGTCTGGTCAGAGGAGAACTGGCCCCCAACTGAGCCTGGTTTCTCCCAAGGTTTTTTCTCCATTCTGTCACTGATGGAGTTTTGGTTCCTTGCCGCTGTCGCCTCTGGCTTGCTTAGTTGGGGACACTTCATTTCCAGCGTTATCGTTGACATAATTGCAAAGATATTATTTAAACTGAGCTGGATGATGACATCACTGAATTCAATGATGAACTGTCTTTAACTGAAAAATGAGTGTTTACTATTGTCACTTTGCATTATTGACACTATTTTCCTAATTAAAGCTGTTCAGTTGCTTTGACACAATCTGTATCGTTAAAAGCGCTATATAAATAAAGGTGACTTGACTTGACTTGACCTGCACTCCCGCGGGACTACCACATCCCGCACACACACTACTGGAGAGACTCGTGTGTGTGGGATGCGGGAGAATAAAATGATTTGCGCGACTCCCTCAAAAAGAAATGATCTAAACATAAAATGTCTAAAACATATAAATTGTTATTTATCTGTTGCACAAAAGCAAAAAGAACAACTAATATTAACATTAAAATGATTGATTTGCGCAAGCTAGGCAGAGTTTCTATTTATAACAGGGTTTAAAGGGTTGCGCAATGTAGCCAATCACAGACTCAGCTGTTGGTTTCTGGAACACAATGGCCAATCAGAGGTGATTAAGTTAGAATCCACTCACCTCAGTGCTGAAATAGACCTATCGGTAAGCCCCGCCCCCTTAGTTACGATTGCTCCCTCGGACAAACAAACGGAGCTGCTCACTAGGGACGGGCGATACCACTTATTTTGTTTTCGACACGATATCGATATTTTTCAAGGCAGTATCGTCGATATCGATACCGATTCGATACTTCTGAACTAAACTTTTAAATTATGAAATTTATGAAATTATTAAATTACTAAGAGTAAAATGGGTAATAAGCACTTAACTTTGTTTAAAACGGATTTTAACATTCAATACGCCTTACTTGTAACTTATTAGGTTATATTTTTGTTTACACATGGTTCAAATATGTTTTTTGTTTACACATGATTCGAATCTACAAATACTACAGTTAAACTAGTCACTTTACTAAAACCATGGTTCATTTTCATAAGGGACTGCCAGTGACAGGATGTTGCATCCATAAAATGCAACCTTTTTATTCTGACAGTGTATGATTTCTATTAACATTACCGAATAGAACATGATCAATATTATCTTTCAACGATCAATTTAAATAACTGTAATTGCACAAACTATGTAGGCTACAATTTCAGTTTGTTTATTCGATATATCGATACTTTGGATCGATACGCCCATCCCTACTGCTCACTGTATCACAATGACAGCTGTCAGTGTGAAAACCTTGTCCCACGATGTTTTTGCACAGTTTTGGACACAGAAGGGCCACCATTCAAGTGGGAATTAAATATTCCATGGAGGGATATATAAAATATTTTAAAATATATATGGTGGGTAACTCGAAGCGAGGGTTTACAGATCACAATGCAAGTGGGAGAAGTCTCATATTACGTTCGTCAGGATGACAACATGCAGGATCAAACACTGTTCATGTACCCAGGGGCGGACTTACCCATTAGACAAAGGTAGGTGACCGCCTTGGGCCCCCAAAAGCCAAGGGCCCACTAAAATGCTTTTCATATAGGAGATGTGCATTAAGCACTGATACGCGAACTGTTGCTGTTTACGGTGTTTATTACCACGACAACTGTCCGAGTCCGTGGCGCTTGCAGGTGTAGGGCTGTATGCACTGTGCATACCAGGAGCGCTCAGACTGACCTGAGATTTTCCCCGCAAACATTTCAGCAGTTATTATAGGCCTGTGTGTCCCGTTTTTCTGTCGACTGAACCAGCCATGCCATTAATTATGAATGTATAATTATGTGCCTCTAGAAGCTTGTGTTCTGCAAGTGAACGTCGCTTTATTGTTCATCTCAAAGAGGCACAAAATCACTTTCACAGACTTTTTCACTAACTGTTCCCTCCTGGTGGAATGACCTGCCCAACTCAATCCCAGCAGCTGAGTCCTTAGCCATCTTCAAGAAACGACTAAAAACACATCTTTTCCACCTTTATTTGACCCTCTAACTCTAGCACTCTCTATTCTAATTCTATTTTTTTTAAAACACTTGTCCCTTTTAGACTTGCACTCTATTCATTTGCTGCTTGTTTTCTTAAAAAAAAAACACTAGCTGGCTCTATTCTTTTTCTATTCTGTCTGTTTTCTTTTTATTTATTATATTATTTTAAAAACCCTTGCTACGTGTACTGCATTAGGCTAACTAAGACTTGTCATTTACACTTATATATTGTTGTTCTTTTGTTAGTTTTGACTACTTTTATTGTCCTCATTTGTAAGTCGCTTTGGATAAAAGCATCTGCTAACTGACTAAATGTAAATGTAATGAATTGATCAGTCTTTTGCATGCCAAAGTAAATTTCTGCATAGAAATAATCGTGCTATACGCACTTTCATGAGATCGGGTTAGCCTGCAACAATTAATTTGTTGGTTATTTTACAAATGGGAATACAACGAATTCATGACAATGTTTTACATTCAAGCTACCTGTAAAATTTATAGTGAAAAGTACTATAAAAGCGTCTGGAATTCAATAAAGTAATTTTAAAGCCATTTTTAAAGCATTTGCTGCATGGATAAAAAAAATAGGCTAATAAATAATTCACATATCAGACAAAATTGCGTTGCAGCAAATCCTTTAAATTTTAGGGTATTCAGATCAGAGCAACATAAAAATCAGAAAATATAAGCAGCTATAGGACAAAGTTTTACATTTATGCCATTATAAATTGTGTTTTATTTTTTAATTGTACATAATTATAAAATAAAACACAAATTATAATTGGGTCTGTTTTAGGCTTTTCCTTATTTTTATATTTTAGACATCAATTATGGTGAAGAAAAAAAATGACTCGCCATCTCCTCATTGGACGTGCCTTTAGAGAGAAATGCACGGATTACATAATGAAAGTGAAATAAGAAATTATTTCGTTTTAAAGTAGTAATTTAAAGCTTTCTATATATTTTTATCATGCCTGTGAGGCAATTCGCTGCTTGCAGCAAATCCTTTAAATTTTAGGGTATTCAGATCAGAGCAACATAAAAATCAGAAAATATAAGCAGCTATAGGACAAAGTTTTACATTTATGCCATTATAAATTGTGTTTTAATTGTACATAATTATAAAATAAAACACAAATTATAATTGGGTCTGTTTTAGGCTTTTCCTTATTTTTATATTTTAGACATCAATTATGGTGAAGAAAAAAAATGACTCGCCATCTCCTCATTGGACGTGCCTTTAGAGAGAAATGCACGGATTACATAATGAAAGTGAAATAAGAAATTATTTCGTTTTAAAGTAGTAATTTAAAGCTTTCTATATATTTTTATCATGCCTGTGAGGCAATTCGCTGAGTTTAGGTTCATCATTGTGAAGCGCTCCTGTTCAAGACCGAGATGGCAGAAAGCGTTTGTTTTCTTTATTTTATAAAAGCACAACGTTTTGTTGATATTGTGAGTGCACACAAATAAAACTAGACCCTTTACAGTTTAGAATGATGTATTAAATACTCTTACCTTTATGAGCAAAAATGACTACGTATTTTAAGTTGTTTCCACTGTTAGAAAAATGCAAGTGATCGCGCTGGCGCCTCCGTGTCCTGCAGAGCTGCCACTCTCCGCACAAACGATTAGATATGCGTCTAACAGCGCACATAATACTCTTACCTTTATGAGCAAAAATGACTACGTATTTTAAGTTGTTTCCACTGTTAGAAAAATGCAAGTGATCGCGCTGGCGCCTCCGTGTCCTGCAGAGCTGCCACTCTCCGCACAAACGATTAGATATGCGTCTAACAGCGCACATTTATCTAGGTTAAACATTTAAACTAACATTGTGATATGCTTGAACTGTTTTATATCTATAGATTTTATTTTAGGCAAGTCGTGATGATTTGAGAAGGCTAAATTGATCAAACAGGCTATGATCAGCTCACTGTCTTACTTACTGGTCATTACTTCAAAAAGAAAAAAACTTACATTTAATGAAACAAAAAAATGCTCCAAACTTTTTTTTCTAAATTTACTTTATAAAAAAAACGAAACAAAATATAATCACTTTTTCATTACATGCAAAGCTGAACTATTTGCATAGCTGAAACAGTAGCATAAGCTTTTTTTTGGAGAAGGGGAAAAAGATGAGCTATAGGGACTATATTATTTGAGGGCTGTGCAGGGCTCTAATCCACGTCATCCAACGCTGTTTTGTTCTCATCAGTGAGCATGCTCTTGATATATGTATTTTACTGTGGCAGGAGGGGCGGGGTTCAGCGAGGCCTGCATTGGGAGAGAGAGGCAGGAGACGAGCGGTGCGTAAGTGGGTCAAGTACAAACGATAAACACCTGTGTCTTGTTTCAGTAATTGGTGTGGAGAGACCGGATAAAAGAGGCCACCTGGAACAGGATGGGGAGAGACAGTCTGGGTACGCGAGCGACCCGGGAAGACGGGTGTAGATACACGGAAGCCAGTTGCATTCTGTTTGTTATGAGTTATTGACTGTGAATCTTACCGCGCTGAGTGAGCGCCGTGGTGTGTACAGTGCGGGAAGGAATTGGCCGGGCATTCACGTGAACGTGCGCAGGTGGTGCGCGTCTTGTCGGGAATGTCGGCTGGTGAACCTACCGGCCACCCCAAAAGCACCATTGTGCCCTCTCCCTCTTGTGCAGGTCCCCTTCGAGCGAATTGGTATGGACCTCATCGGGCCATTAGAGCGATCGGCACGGGGGCATCGCTTTGCATTAGTCCTAGTGGATTATGCAACGCGATACCCCGAGGCAGTGGCCCTCCGCAGCATTTCCGCGAAAAGTGTGGCGGAGGCCCTGTTTCATCTTATCTCCCGGGTGGGAATCCCCAAAGAGATTAAATCGATGGGCATTAAATCGATTCGCACCAGCGTCTATCACCCACAAACGGACATTCTGGTTGAACGATTTAATCGCACATTAAAAACCATGATTCGGAAGTTCGTTCACGAAGACGCCAAAAATTGGGACAAATGGCTGGAGCCCCT